CGCTCCCCCGCGGCACGGGAGCGGGGGCGGCGGGACCCGCCGCTGTCGCCGTGCCGCGACCCTGTCGGCGCAGCATCGCGGCGTGGCTCGGGGCTGTTTGCCCGCGGCTCCGCGGCTCCCTCGGGCGGGAGGCGGCGGCGCAGCCGGGCTGCCCGCGGCTCCGCGCAGCCCGGACCGGCGATGTCTCTCCGGTGGCACTCGAGCCCCGGCCAAGTTGCGGGCGCTGCGGTGGCTGCGGGTTTGCCGGAGTTTCCGAACTCCGGGGCCAGCTGGTGCGCCGTCCCGTTAGCTGGCGGTGCTGCTCCGCCCGCCGTGCCCGGAGCGCGGCTGAGCTGCCCGAGGTGCGCGCTGCCCCGGTACCGCCGGCTCCGCGGCCGTGCCCGCTCCCGCAGCAGCCTTTCGGCCGCCGCTCGGGGACGGGCAGCGCGGCCGGTCCCGCTGGGCACCCGCGGCTCTGAGCAGAGCATAACGCGTCTGGAAACCGCTTTACTCGTGTTTCATTAATCTGAGGATTGCGGAGGCATTAGGCACGGGCTCTGTGTGCTTAGCGGAGGGAAGCGTGCTGTGATGGGTACAAACTTTGGGGACGGGCATCGCTGTTCTGCAGACTCTGGGATGAAGCATTCCTCTGTCAGTCCTTATTGCTCTCTCGTTTCGGCGTTAGCGTTAGGCTAATTGTCCTTGGGAGAGCAGAAATTCTCCCAAAGTGTTGTTATTTTCCTGCTAAAGTATCTGTGAGTTGATACAGAGCACCGCGCAGAGCCATTAATGTCAAGCATATAAATAATTGTGTCTTAATGCACAGCTTATGTTAATACGTCTTTCGTGACTATTTTTTGAACGACTGGATTATTGACCCTCTGCACAGAAATGCCAGACCTAACATGAACCGTAGAAGAACAAATAGTTTTGTTTTAATAAATACGGGCTTGAGGTTGAAAGCATTTTTACAATTCTATTGCTAGTGAAAAGACAGTAATTTTTGCAGTCCCAGGAATAATTATGCGCAGTTGTGAATGGAGCAAATTGACTTGGCATGGAGGGTAGATGAACCTCCTGCGATCTCTAGATTATGATCATTATTGTTATTGTAGGCCAGTGGGAGCAAAACTGTGTCTCTCCTTTTTATCCTTTGATTTCTTTCTTTTCTTGGGGGCCGGAGGGGGTGGGGAGTTGAGAAATTGAAGATTGTGCTTTGATGCATTTTCAGTACTAGGGCTCCAAAGTAATTTTCTTACTGAACTGTGTGGTAAAAGGCATTTGTGTTTGGAGATGGAAATTTGCAACTGAGAGTGAGAAAGAGGGGCTGGAGCTGTGCTTCATAGCTAAGCCACAGCATTAGATACAGGTTAGCATTTTATAGCTGCCTTGTAGAAACGTGCTTGCTTATTTCTTAAAAACAAAACTGAACTGTAACTTTTGGACCTAGCTCACATATCTGACTTTGCTTAGCGTCTTTATTTCAAAGTGAAATGTACTCGGCTTGTTCACACACCATTACTTTAACTTTGTCCTGTCTTTTTGGGTAACCTGCTTTGGCTGGGTGATGGACCTAATGAACTAATAGGTCTTTCATGGTTGTAGCTCCTTTGATCCCAGAAGTTGTAAAGATTTTTATGAACTATGACCTGGAGAGACTGCTACATACCAAAAACATTCTCTGCTTAACTTCATATATCCTCTGCTTAATCTGACCATTTGCCAAAGTGCTGAAATCTGTTTAGAAGAGCTGTGGGAGAATGTGCACACATGTGACTATTTGGGAATTAGTCAGTGTTTTATGGGCTGTTAGCTCACGCTGATTAGGAGGACTGCAGCTTGAGCCATTTGCGGCATTGCCAGCTTCCCACTCTTGTTCAGGTGAGCTGGGTACCGATGGCACTCAGCTGGTAGTGTTTAGTGAAATTTGATCTCTTCAGCCATCCTTTTGAAGAGGGCGGAAAGAATTCAACAACTGGGTCTCTTTAAGCATCCTTTGAAGAAGAATTGCAAGAATTGAAGTCCCAGCTCTTAGAACTAGAAGTGCAACTCTTTCTCACAGTAAGTTCTTGCCACATTTCTGGTCTCTTGCCACCTTCAATAAGCAGCAGTCCTCAAAACTGCTGATTCTTTGGGCCTTCAGGCAGCCTGCTGGTCAGAAAACCCATTGCAGCCCTCATCAGCATTAAGCAGAAGAGACTGCCCTAGAATTAATCGAGTTGAAGAAAGCTTGAGGACTGTGGGCTGCTTTCTTGATGTGCAGCTGGAGCAGCTTGAGCAGCTTCTGTCACGTGGATTTGTTGTGAGGCAGTGCAGATAATACACCCGCCTTCTTCCTGTGATCTGAACAACTTCTGAAAGCTGACAGTGTTCTGACCCGCTGTCGCTGTTGGGATGAGGCTCCTTCTTGGCATTTTTTGGTGGGTGTGGATCTGTAAAATGCAGCCAGGCATGGCTGCTCCATGGCATTGTTAGTGATATGTGCTGAAATCCTAGGCTGGTGGTTAAGGAGTAGACCCTGCTTCCTGCTTTCCCATCCACAAAATGCAAGGGAAAATATTGCTGCTTGTTTAAAAAACAAACAGAAATGAAGTCAGTTAAGTGACCTGGCTGACTAACTACTCCTAAAATACTTCTGTAGCTAGAGTGACCCTGTGACCTCCTGCAGCTCATGCTGGCTGATTGTGTCTTTTCTGACCTTGTCTCTATAATTAGGGCTGGAGGAGACTTGTGAGATCTCTGCAGTTGGACTGGTAGCATGAGAAACTGGTAGCTAAAAGGTGTTTTTTACTTTTTGCAGTAGGTCCGGTTTAGGTGTGCACCCTCATGAGTCTGGTAAATTTTGACCTTTCATCACTTTTCACCTCCTGTTGTTGTTCCCCTTCTTCTGACTTTGCTTATTCTGTGTACATGTAGATAATGTCCAGAACTGAAGATGTGGGTCTTTCAAGATCTGACTTGCCAATGGTATTCAAGGGTAGTGAATTGTTATTTAAATATAGGACTTTTTATGACAACTTTTCCCTGACGGATTGTTTTAGTGCTATTGATTATGATGCAGACTTCTATAAAGCTGTGGGTAGTCCTTTTGGCCCTGCTTGGAGTTAAAAGCTCTCTTCCCTGTTGCTCCCTGTGGTCATTTAGAGAAATAATGTTAACAATTTTCTCTCCATCTCCAGCTAACACTCAGAATCCTGTGCACAATGGAAAAAGTACCCTATTCAGTGTTTTGCTCCTGGGATCCCAACGAGGCCAGAGAGGGAAGAATCCTAAGAGGAAGAGACTCACATGAATCGTGAAATGAGTGGTTAAATAGGACATTAGTCAGGAACTGAAATGTGACATGGAAAGTTTAGTGTATATAAGTAATTTACATAGCAGTAGAGTCAGAGCAAGAGGGAAAGATACAAAAACAAACATGCAGGATGAAGCTTGGTTGTTATTTTTTTCAGGCACATTTTCCATTCCAAGTTTGCTAAATCCTGCAGATGTACTCTTGGGCTTTTCTAGTCCTGGTTAACTACTCAGAAGTGTGTCATTCATCCTGTTGCACAAAAGGTGAAGGAAAGAGGCTCCCTCTGGAGCTAGCTAGGGTGTCTTTGAAAGTCTTCCTTTCCCCTCTAAAGCATGAAGGCTTAAGGAGCAAAGACTGAGATGGAATATAGATTTGTTTTTGCCTTGATTATTTTAAGTTTTTTTTTAGTGAGTGACTTTCTTCCCCCAGCTCCACAGTGCAGTTGGGTGTAGTGATGTGATGGTGGGGAGGTGGAGAAGGTTGAGGAGAGGCAGGGATGATGGAAGCAGGAAAGGCTTGTCTGCTCTGTAGAGCTTTGTGCTGTTCATTGCCCCACACACTGTTTAAGAGCTGCTCATGCTCCTGGATTTAGCGAAACAAATGCTGAAGCTGCTAAGCAAGGAGAAATGAGGAGAAATCTCTCTAAGCTGGGGATGCGACTGCAGCTCTACTGTAATGCCACACAAGCCTGATGCTGCTGATTTCATTAAAAGCATCATTCAGGGCCTCAAAGCAGGTTTTAATACTTGCTATATGTTTTTTTAAATATGCTGACCTTATCTGGTAAGCCTGTAATATTTGTTGCAATGAAGAACAGCTGCTGCATAAATACATATATAATATCAGTTGCCAATTCTGTAAGCTGTGCTGAGACTGTGACTTGTTTGAAGTGGGGTTGCTATTAAAAGGCAGGTGGCAAGATGTTTATTTTGCACCTTGTTAATTGCTTGTTTTTCCTGCTGTAATTGGCTTCCTAATGGGGGCAGAATGCGCTTGGTTTTGCACACAAAGCTTCATTAGTGACAACTGATGGAAAGGATTCAGAGGGTGGGATTTAGATGAAATATATATATGTATTGAGTAACAGATGTCTCTGCTAAATAGAGTATATGAGGAAGTCCTGTAGATGCATCCAAAAATGCAAATGTTTTCCCATAAAATGATTTAAGATCTTCTAGTGTTAGGTGTAAAGATTGCTGCCTGTTACTTGAGAAGGAGGCAGAGATGTTGTTATTTATGTTATTTTTGTGGGACAGAGATTTTGTTCTGCTTCACTGAAGAGGAGTTGGGATGCTGGGATGGTGCTCTCTGCTCAGGACTCTTGGTGTCCAGGTATTCATAAAGATATCTTCGAGGATCCCTGTAGCATGTTTAGAGATTGCTCC